GTGTTCAGGAGGCTGGGGTGATGAGAAGCTAGAGAGAAAGGTAGGCTTCAGATTATTAATAACCACCTATCCCTTACAGAAGGTTTAGAATATTATGGAAAGAGTCTGGGAACAGTGAGGAAATCCCTGAAAGCCACCTAATCAGTATAAACTTTATTTATGTAGAAGGCAATGGGGAGCCTTTGAATGTTTTTGATATGATAATTTTTTAAAAGTAATAAGATGAGAACTGGGCTTTCAAAAGATTCTTGTACTGTATGGCTTGGAGAAGGAAGAGGCAGGGGAGAGGGAGACCAGGTGGTAGAATGTTGTAATGGTCAGAGCAGGAGGTGATGAGCACGTGAGTTAGGGTGGGAGCTACAGGGCGATGGTGGATTTGGGGCTCACGGATATGAGGAGCATTAGACAATTTACTGGGTTGCCTGAGAAAGTCCATTGGTTCCCCTACCCCCAGCTTTATTGAGGTATGATTGGCAAATAAAAATTGTATATATTTAAGGTGTACAAGATGTAAGATGTTTTGACATACATATACATTGTGAATGATTACTACAATCAAGCTAATTAACAGATCCATCATCTCACATAATTACCTTTTTGTTTTTGGTGATGAGAACGCTTCATGTCTACTCTTGTAGCAAATTTCAAGTATATAATACAGTATTATTAACTATAGTCACTATGCTGTGACATTAAGTCTCCAGAATTTATCCGTCTTACAGCTTATAACCACCATTCTACTCTCTGCCTATGAGTTTGCCTTCTTTTTTTTAGATTTACATATGAGTGAGATCAGACAGTATTTGTCTTTCTGTCTGGCTTATTTCACTTAGCATAATATCCTCCAGGTTCATTATGTTGTTGCAAATGGCAGGATTTCCATTTTTATTAAGGCTGAGTATATAATATATACACCACAATTTCTTTATCCATTCATATGTGAGTAGACACTTAGGTTGTTTCCATATCTTGGCTATTGTGATAATGCTGTGATGAACACGGGAGTGCAAATATCTCTTTGAGATACTGATTTTATTTCCTTTGGATATATACCCAGAAGTGGAATTGCTGGATCATATGGTAGTTCTATTTTTAATTTTTTTTTTTTTGAGGAACCTCCATACTGTCTTTCATAATGTCTGTTATCAATTTACATTCCCACCAACAGTGTGCAAGTTTCCCTTTCCTCCACATCTTTACCAACACTTGTTATCTTTTGACTTTTTGATAATGGCCATCCTAACAGGTATGAGGTGATAGCTCATCACGGTTTTGATTTGCAATTCCCTAATGATTAGTAATGTTGAGGCATCTTTTCATACACCATTGTCGAACATTCAAAACAGCAGTTCAAAAGCATGTCCTTCCTTCCTTCCTTCATCAGTTTACTACAAATGTTTATGGAGAGCCTTCTCTGTTCCAGGACTGTGCATGGTGAATCCCTAGCCCAGTGTGGAATCCAGACAAGATATCAGACTGTAGCAACCTGGTGGGACAAAGACCCAGAAGTCAGCAATCACGGAAGGGGGTGGGGCAGTGGAAGCACCCAAGCCAGTTTTGGGGGATAGGGAAGGCTTCCTGTAAGGGGACTTCTAAGCTGAGAGACACCGTGTGGGGAGCTGAGGATGCCCTCGTGAATAAGGTACGGTTTCTGCCAGGGTGGGTGGGGACAGACAAGGAAACAAGACAATGCCATTTGACACAGAAATACAGCTAACTTTATGCATATATATTATATCTTTCTTTAGTCAAAAAAGAAAATTCTACTCCGAGCAAATTTCTTCTTCTTTTTTTTTTTAAGGCAGAGCTGTTTGGAATGATGCTCACCAGAACGGCAAAGCGGCGCGTG